ACATGCGAGACTTTTTGTTACGCCTACTTTGGAAATATAGATTGGAATTTGACATCGAACTCTATGGCATTACAGACTAGTCATATTACAACTACTTCGGAAATAGAGTATCGAAGGGTGACGTCATACTATAGCCAAGTTGTCAAGGTTGCTGGTTTCAAACACTTTTTTTGGAAACATTTGTGTATAAAATATATTTAAATGTTCGAATGACATAATATGAGTTGTATGTCGCCCTGCACATCAACAGGAATCAATTTAATTTGTATATTTTGATTTTTCCCTACCTTTAAAGTCACTTATGCAGTTATTCCGCACCCCTGGTTCGTCAATGTTGGAGTCAGAAATGAGATAACGGAGCATCTGTAAGTCGCGAGAATAAGGGTGACTCCGACAGTTCCTGGCATCTTTGCATTAAAATTAACCTGAGTAAATGAAATACACAAGCTGTGGTCAAAATCCTTGAAAGCTGATGCATTTCAATTAAAAGCCATTTGAATAAATACTCAGCTATAGTACCGGACATCGTTCCCACGAAACCTTCATAAGTTACAACTTTGCCGGAGACCCAGTGAAACTTGTATTAATTGTAGTTCGGGAGTTTCAATGGGCAAACTCGTACTTATTAAGATTTCGTGAAACGATACCCTGTTTACGAATGTATTTCAACTCGTGTACATGTTCCTCTCCCTAACCCGTGTTTACCCACTACTTCACTCCTGTGCTATGCATAATGGCAATTGTATAGATGGAACCCATTTTGCATAATCAGTTTTTGCTATGCCTCGCATGGATTTTTTTTGTCAAGAGAAAAGTTTTTAAAGTTCTTTCTTCTCCTTCTTCTTTTTTTCCATGGAATAAGCTTAACAAGTCTATTGAAAACCCGCATCTCTATCTAGAAAAAAATACCAAAAGTCTGTATCTAAATGATGTTAAAAGAAGGTTGAGTTCTGGGAAAAAGTAAACAATAACTTGCGAGCGTTATCATCGTATTATGCAAGGGTGGAATAACATCAGATAAAAAATGTTTCCTTAGAAGCATGGCTCTTCAAATGCCTTAATATTCTAAATATGGCATGTAACCTCATACAAATCGGGACGGATTTTTATGCCACATGTTCGTGTAGTCGCATATACATTATTCTGTGTACATTACATGTAACTTTATCAAGACTGGGCAAAATTTCTGATCATTTTGATGTTTCCAGAACCTTGCAGTACACACCAATACTTATATGCTAGATGATCAACCTTTTCTGATCGATTCCATAATGTTTCTTTCACAATGCAATCTCATGACCAGAACTAAACTTTATCTTTAAACTAAAACATTGTCATTTGGGAGGTTTGGCCAACATGGTTTCAATCGATCGCAACATAGCGTATAATATTATTTTGTTTGTGCTTTCCCAAACAAGCAGTATTTGCCATAATAGTTAAAATTAGGAACGGGTTGGTCGAACTCTGGATATGGATGGCTCCCCTTCCATCGCCGAAAGTTACGCGATAGATGGCGCTCTAGTGCGCTATTATCTGTTTGAGCGCATGGAATGTTGAATGTCAAGCCCAACGTTATTTCTCAAATGAGAGCCCGTTATTAGCTTATATTTTCAAGAAAAACGTTCATAAAAGCATATACTAAGGAAGTTTCGATCCGGTATCTTATTTTGGCTCAAGGTCTGTTCAAACACCGTGAAATTAGGAGGCCAGAGAGAGAGAGAGAGAGAGAGAGAGAGAGAGAAAGAAGGAGAGTCAGAGAGAAGCTAGGGGCTAACAAATAGCAAACTAGAGCGAGCTGGAAAGGGGAGGGGGCGGGGTGAATCGATAAAGAGATCGAGAGAGAGAGGGAGAGAGAGAGAGAGAGAGAGAGAGAGAGAGAGAAAAAAGAGATAGAGAGAGGGAAAGAGAGGGGGAGAGAAGCGACATGAAGGGAGAAAATGTGGGGAGGAAACAAGCGAGAGAGAGAGAGAGATTGAGAGAGAAAAAGAGATACAAGATGAGAGAAAATGGGCTGCAATGCTGGATCCAGGGTTCGTTGACCGTAATAAGTCCCACATCTCTAATACAAGCCAGAAAAAGGGGAGTGTCCCCCCCCCCCCTTTTTTGGGGGGGGGGGGGAACATATAGGCAGGTTTTGGTTTTGGGGGACACATTTGCAAACCCATCCCCTTCTTAAGTATAATTCCATTGATCTCATTATCCTTCTCTCTACATGTATCCATCATATTGTCTTTCTTTCTCTCTGCTTCTCTATATTTTCCTCTCTATCTCTCTCGGTTTCCAAAAGGATCTAACTGTACCACCCCTCCCCCTCATACTCATCTCTCCACCCCCTCTCCTTCTCTATCATACTCATTCCCATTGTCTCCCTGTCCCTCTGACTCTGTACTTTTTTCTCTGTCTCTCTCATCTAAATCATATATCGTAGACTTTTACAATGCACTCCCCGTAGGAAATAATAATTGTTCATTGCCACCTCTTTTATTTCATGATGTAGTCCCTGCATTTATGTAATTTGAACTAGGAATATTTGAACCTTGATGTATTTGTACCATATATTTCGATGGTACTCTAACCTTACATAGCACAGCAAAGAAGTGTACCGGTATGTATCAGTCATAGAAAAAAGAAGAAAATATAAGAAAGAAATGCTCATTGACATTTTACCAAACTTGATGCTTTGCATACATACTTGTAGACATAGTGATGCATACTCATTTAATATGTCTACGAGACTGTGAAATATTCCAGAAAATGGATTAAAAGTATAAATAACAAAGAATAACATCGAATCAGTGAATCTTGCAAGGGTAATCGCACTGTAATGGAGTGCCACACAAACTCACAGGCGTTCAACAGTGATTACCATAAAATTTGATTAAATTTCAAAGGCCACTATTTGAAATGGAAGATTGTTTTGTATTCATCTTGGTTTTGATCAATTATATCTCCTGTCATAGAATGATTAAGATTAAAACATAGTAATTATGACGAGGATTAATGATGAAACGAAGAGCTCGATTCCAAAAGGAGCTAAATCCATATTTTATCAAAAATTGAGTTATCTGTCTTGAAATAATGATTTCCTACATGGGGACAAAATGCCCTATATCCAATTCTAAAATTTCACCAGGAAGTATGAACAAAATTAGGTACAATATCATGTTTCATTCCAAAAGGAACTAAGTCCAATCGGTTTCATTCCAAAAGGAGCTAAATTCACTTTGGGTACTTCTGAGTATTAAAATCACCTTTTTTTATATCTTCACTTTCCCTTGAATAAATTTCAGTGATTTGATTGAGAAAAATTAAATCTAAAAATTAAATCAAAATCAGGAAAAACTGGTAGATTTTTTCTTATCATATATTATTGGTCCAGGGTGACACCTTTAACATATACAACAATATTAAGGTACATGGCTAAATGGAAAGTGGAGAAATATAAAAAAGGTGATTTACTCAGAAGTACCTAAAGTGGATTTAGCTCCTTTTGGAATGAAACTCTTCAAATATAGCCCACTGTTTCAACTAGTGGCTACTGGAATGTTATCACTGTTTATTTATGATAATCAAGTTCAAATTTTAAAAACATGGTTTCATTTGTCCCTCTATGACAATGGAACTGTCCTTGAGTCTTGGTTGGGCCTATATCTTGGCATATCTTGGCACCCCCTCCCCTACTCGTCCACCACGCCACTTCCTCATTAACTCTTCTTGAGTCAATAAATAAAACTTTTCAACTTTGACTAATTTACAACAGTTCCTCTCGAATAATATATCCGTCACTGAGAAGGGCAAAACTCAAAAAACAAACCTTCATGTTGATTTTCACTCTGAATGGCAAACATACAAGAAAAACAAAAAGTAAAACACCTCTTAACTTTAATACTTATACCTTCTTTTGGATTTAGAATTTCCGAGACATTTTTCAACATGATTTGATTATGAATTGTTAGTTCATATATTTTCATATATTGAACGTTGAATCATGCAATATTTGTACAATATTGATCTAGACAAAGCAGACAACAATAAACATGCATTGAGTTGCTCAAAAACCATCCAAAACCTGTAATTCACAAGGAGGTACTTTGGGAAAGGTTGGTCTGTCATTCTTGTCCATTATGAAGGCTTCTGGGAATGAAACAAGAACGACAAAGGTCCCGAGATCAGAGTCATCATCAGCATCGTCCTCAAAGCCCAGATCACTGTAAGGAGGAGATGCAAGAACAGACATAATAGAGGTTTTGTGGTCAAGTGGTTTGATCACTCTACTGGGAAAGCAGAGGTCGTGGGTTCCATCCCAAGTACAGGGGAGTGTTTCACTAAGTCTAGGATCGACTTTAAGTTGCACTTAACTTTGGCAGGCCATTCATTCCACTGGTTGCTCTCACCTTTGGTCTCTCAATTATTAGCTTTACATAATATTTATTCCTTCAATAATGAACCATCAACAAATGTAAATGTTGTAGATATGTGACCATAATTTGTACGTCCTTTGAGAGACCAATGCCAGTAAATGGTGAGAGAAAATAGTGGCATGAACGGCCTGTCATAGTTTAGTCCAACTTAAAGTCAATCTTAGTCTTTGTAAAATACTCCCCAGGACTTTTGTAACAAATATCTGTTACTACAGCAACACATCTTGAGGCTGCACTGTCAGAGCAACCGTTTGGTTATTTTTCAAAACAAAATTGTTTTTAATGACAAATTTATGCAAACTGTATAATGGGCAAATCCAATATTTTCTTCTTCCTATGTGTTACTGATCACATAAGAATTATTGTAGGCCTATACATGATGATAATATGATGTTGATAGCCGAACTAGAGAGGGGATCAGACGTATTTCCAAAGAAAATCAAGGAAATCAAGGACGTGCCCAGATAGATCAATATCCAGATAATTCTTGCCTTTCATGGTTGATTTGGCCTTTCTCTTGTTGCTTCAGTACTGTCCAAGCTGTTTCTCTGAGACAACGCAGCATGTGAAGATCAGATTCGATGGACGGTTGAACAGCGTTCTAACTCCAATGTGTTTCTGATCGTTCATTTATCTCACGCTCCCATCAGTATTCTAAAAAATAAACGTAATGCATGGAATTTTAATAGTTTTGATATCAATGTAACCTTTTATGCAGTTCTCTTGGCCTTGAAGCCTTTTATAAAATGTGTTCAGTATAACTCAAAATCAATCAGAACCACAATTTGATTTGGCATGCTTTAGTGGTACATGTATATCTTTCTGATTAGCAAGAATACAAAACACAATGATTATGTAAATGACTTTAAGAAAACATGATTATTCTAAATTAGACTTCCGAAAATGTCAACAAGCCATCACAATAAGGAATTATCACAGAATCCAAAAAAGAGAATTTAAGGATTCAGTTAGGGAAGTGCTCAATATGACACTCTCGAACAGCTCAGCTTGATTCTTGAATACTAGACAGAGTGTATTTGTATTGGCATACCATCCTCTTTCGAGCAGCTCCTGATTATTTTCAATCTGCTAGTGTTATCATCTCGACTTACTTTCACTTTCTTCTTCTCATTTTTGGTCTTCTTTCTTGTCTCCTGTTTCCTCCCTTCTCTCGTTTCCTTCTTGGTCTCATTCTTGGTATCCTTTTCCATCCCTTCTTTGGTTTCCTTCATGGTGTCCTTTTTGGTCTTCTTCTTCGTTTCCTTTTTTATCCCTTCTGTTCTTCCCTTGCTGATCTCCTTTTTGGAGTCCTTTTTTGCATCCTTTTTGGGCTTCTTTTTGGTCTCTTTTCTCGCCCCTTCTGTTGTTTCCCTTTTGGTTTCCTTTTTCCTTTTCTCTTTTGTCTCTGTTTTCACTTCATCTTTCATTGCCTTCTCTTTCTCCTTAATAGTATCATCTTTCTTCATGTCAATAACTTCTTTTGTTATTTCCTTTGGCATGTCCGTTTCCACCCTAATCATTTTATTCTTCGTCGTCTCCTTTCTCAACCTTTTTTTCTTTTCCTTTTTAATTTCATTCACAGCCTCCTTTTCTGTCTCCTTCATTGCCTCATTTCTCCCCTCCTTTTGCATCGTCATTTTTTGCTCCTTCTTCTTATCCACTTTTGTCTTGTTTTTCGTTGGCTCTTTGGTCTCCTTTTCAGCATCTGTTTTTGTCTGCTTTCTTGCCTCATTTTCCTTCTCCTTTTCCAACTCCTTTTTCTTATCAGTTTTTGTTTTCTTTTTCGTTGGTGTTTTGGTCTCAGTTTCTTGCTCACTTTTTGACTCCTGCCTATCAGTTTTTGTTTTCTTTTTCATTGGTTTCTTGGCCTCCTTTGCAGCTTCCTTTCTTATTTCATTTTCTATTTCCCTTCTCAGCACCTTCTTCTTATCGGTGTTAGTCTTCTTTGTTGTTGACTTTATGGTCTCTATTTCTGTCTCACTTTTTGGCTCCTTCTTCTTTTCTCTTTTTGTCTTCTTTTTTGTTTGCTTTTTTGTCTCCTTTTTCGTCTTTTTCTTCATGGCCTTTTCCAGTTCCTTCTCTATCTCAATTTTCTCCTCCGTATTCATCTCCAGTTTTGTTTTGCTTTTTGCTCCCTTTTTGGTTCCCTCTTTCCTTGCCTCTTTTGTCTCCACTTTTGTGTCTTTCTGCTTTTTCATCTCCTTCATTGTGCCACTTTTCTTTTTCCTCTTCGGAGCATCTACATTTGGTAAACACACAAATACAAACAGAGAAAAGAAAGGTAAGTTAGTGTTGCATACAATATAGGATAAGAACAAACCTATAAGTGATTCTATAGCGATCGTTGTAGGCAGTTTCTAACCATGAAACTAAGATACGTTTTATTTAATAAACTTCCATCATGCCCATGATTGAGCTCTAGCTGTTACGAGGTCTGAAGCCTAGACTAGTATCATACACGGGACTCTATGCTATCGTGCGGCATGCATGTAGGCAGCGCGATATACACGAGAACACGACCACCAGTTGTATCTAACATAACGGCGTCCAAGTGTCCTTATTATCTTATATAGTGTCTCCATAAGATAACATGGTGTCAGAAGTGACAAGAAATCCGTAGCAGGATGACATACCCACCTCCAGAAGGAAAATTCAGGACAGAACTTTAACCGAGGACGACAGGATCATGTTTTGAACTTGATGGTTGTCTGACCAGGATAATGACTATCTAGACGATACTGCAGCGTATATATGACAAAAATTCGCAGGTATACCCGGTCACGTAAGTCTTCTTGCCCAAGCTGTATTTGTTGATGGTATTTGAGTGACAAATTCAAACTACAGATTCTAGAATGGCATCATTCCAGATTCCACCTCCATCCCCAATGATATGTAGAGGGAATACAGAGCTCAATTGGCAGAATTTTGAGGAGGCTTGGACAGATTATTGTGTAGCAACTGAGTTGGAAAATAAGGATGCGAAAATCCAGGTGGCCACGCTGAAGACGGTCATGGGGCAGGACTGCCGCACTGTGCTAACTGGGCTGAAGCTTTCACAAGATGACAGGAAGGTTGTAATCAAGATTTTGGATAGCCTCAGAGATCATTTTGTGATGAAAAGGAATGTGCTGTATGAGAGATTCATGTTTCATTCAGCGGAACAACAGCCACAAGAGGCGGTCACACAGTTCATGGAACGTTTGCGTAAACTTGCAAGTACTTGCAAGTTTGGAGACCAGCGACTGGAGGATGAAATGGTCAGAGACAGGTTAGTCATGGGCTGTCGGGATCAAGGGGCTAGAGCCAGGTTGTTCAGAGAGGATGAATGCACAATGAAAAAGGCATTTGATATGCTAAAGATCAGTGAAGCCACCACGCAGCAACTTAAGGTAATCACAGGCAGTGACCAGCCATTGCAAGAAGTAAACTTTGCGAAAACCAAGTACGCTAGTAAAGGACAATACCAACAGAAATACAGTCCAGATATGAAGGCAAAGTACACTGCCACAAGGGGCAACTCATGCCAGTATTGTGGAATGAAGCATCAAAAAGGAAGAAATAATTGCCCTGCATATGGCAAAGAGTGCTCGAGGTGCAAAAGGATGCACCATTTCTCGAAAGTATGTCGAGCAAAGACAGAGACTGTGCATGCTGGTGAACAAGATCAATGTGACCTAGCAGAGATGACTGACGATGAAGAATCCAACTTCTGCCTGGAAGTGGAAGAGGAGTATGTAGGCCTTCTCAATGATGACAAAGGGGAGAAAAAAATCTTTGTCACAGTTGACATCGAAGATAAGGATAGAAAGAAGCCAGTTCGGTGCCAGGTAGATACAGGAGCAACCTGTAATGTGATGTCCTACAGAGCGCTGGCCGGACTGGAGGGAACAGCCAATCCACACCTACACCCTTCTAGAGTGAGAATAAAGCTGTATGGTGATAATGCATACATACCGGTGAAGGGAGAGAGAAACCTGACATGTATTTATGAAGGGAATTCATATAACCTGAACTTCAAGATTGTTGAGACAACTAGAGAAGTTCCCTTGCTCGGTGCAGAAGCTTCAATCAAGATGGGAGTAATTCGTGTTGGAAGCAGAGATGAAACACTTCATTTTGCACAGTCCAGAGATCTGATTACAGAATATCAGGATGTATTTGAAGGACTGGGCTGTCTTCCTGGAGAATACAAGCTGACAATTGATGAGAAGATTACACCTGTAAAGCATCCAGCACGCAGAATCCCCATCAATATCAAGAAAGATCTGAAGAAAAAGTTGACAGAGCTGGAACAGAGAGGAATCATAGCTAAGGTCTCGGAGCCAACAGACTGGATCAGCAGCATGGTCATAGTCAAGAAGCCACAGAAGATACGTATCTGCTTAGACCCGAGAGAATTGAACCAGGCTATTAAGAGACCGCACTACCCAATTCCAGTGATAGATGATATCCTTCCGAATCTGGCCAAAGCAAAGATCTTCACAGTATTGGACGCCAAGGATGGATTCTGGCAGGTGCAAAAGGATAAGGCAAGCAGCTACTTAACAACATTTGCCACCCCATTCGGACGGTATAGGTACAAAAGAATGCCGTTTGGGATTTCTTCGGCGCCTGAAGAATTCCAACGACGGCAACACGAGATCATTGAAGGGCTCCATGGTGTTGAAGTCATAGCTGATGACTTTCTGGTGTTCGGAACTGGAGATACCACAGAAGAGGCGATAGCAGACCATGACAAGAAATTAGAGATGTTTCTCCAACGAGCCAGGAAAGTCAATCTCAAGCTCAACAAGGCCAAGCTCAAGTTGAGACAAACCTCAGTCACATACATGGGGCACAAACTGTCAGTGGATGGACTTCGTCCGGATCCAGAGAAGGTACGTGCCGTTGTTGATATGGCACCCCCTGATGACAAGAAAGCTGTTCAGCGTCTGCTAGGCAGTGTGACGTACCTGGCCAAGTTTCTTCCGAAACTTTCGGCAGTAGCAGAACCATTGCGAAGATTGACTGATGCAGAGACACATTTTGAATGGTTTGAACACCACACTGACGTCCTGAAAGAAATCAAGCACATGCTTACCAACGCACCAGTCTTGAAATACTTTGATGAAACGGCTGAGACAACTATACAGTGTGATGCTTCAGAAAAGGGCTTGGGAGCAACACTTCTGCAGAATGGGCAACCCATAACATTTGCATCCCGTGCTCTGTCTCACACTGAACAGTGCTATGCCCAGATAGAAAAGGAATGTCTTGCTATCGTATTTGCCTGTGAGAGATTTGACCACTACATCCAAGGAAGAAAGGTCACTATCGAGACTGATCACAAGCCACTGGTGCCGATATTTGTGAAGGCGATACATGGAGCTCCCAAGAGGCTCCAGAGAATGCTCCTACGACTACAGAAATACCAGCTTGATGTGACGTACAAACCTGGTAAAGAAGTACTGATTGCTGATTGGCTAAGCCGAGCATATCTACCGGACACAGGCAAGAAAGACCAAATCTATCATGAGATAGAAGAAATCAACCAGATGGACCTCTTGAAAGTGAGTGCAGCTACAGAGCACCAACTGAGAAGTGGTACAGCTACAGACCAGAAGCTGCAGGACCTCATGTTAATGGTCCACCAAGGATGGCCAGACAACAAAGAGGCTGTCCCAGGGAGCATCCGAGAGTACTTCAACTTCAGAGATGAAATTACTGCCCAAAATGGAATCATCTTCAAAGGACAGAAGGTGATAATTCCTGAGGCGCTACGAAGTAGAATGGTGGACAAAGTACATAAAAGCCACCTAGGGATAGAAGCATGCATACGACGTGCTCGAGATACCCTCTTCTGGCCTGGAATGTCAGCACAAGTCAAAGAAAAAGTGGAACAATGCTCCATTTGCAACTCTATGAAGCCAAAACAGCAGAAAGAGACAATGATGTCTGCTGAAATACCAAGCAGGCCTTGGAAGATTGTGGGACAGGATTTGTTCCATGTTAACAACAGGAACTATTTGGTGACAGTAGACTTCTACTCAGACTACTGGGAGCTTGACCAATTGGATGCCACTACAGCACAGGATATTGTGCAGTGCACGAAGCAGCACTTTGCAAGGCACGGCATTCCAGAACGAGTCATAACAGACAATGGACCGCAATTTGTTGCCCAAGACTATGCCAAATTTGCAGCAGAATGGGACTTTGAACATGTGACAAGTTCACCAAGATACAGTCAGAGCAATGGCAAGTCGGAATCAGCAGTTAAGATTGCCAAAACAATCCTAAAAAAAGCTCTGAAGGAAGGGAGTGATATCTACACAGCAATGCTGGAATGGAGGAATACACCTGATCCTGATGGAGTGAGTGCTGTACAGAAACTGATGTCAAGACGCACTCGGACATGCCTTCCCACAGCAGAGGTACTTCTTATGCCAAAGGTAGTACCAAATGTTCCTGAGCAAATTAGACTGAGAAAGCAGAAGGCCAAGCTCCATTATGACAGAGGAGCTAAAGATCTACCCGAGCTGGAAATAGGTCAAGGTGTACTTCTACAGCCTGACCTCCCCCACCAGCCTTGGAGACGAGCAGTCTGCAGACAAATCCTTGGTGACAGATCATATGTGGTGGAGACAGATGATGCCCACCAGTATCGGCGTAACCGGAGGTTCCTGAGAGCGATGGCCAACATCATCCCTGAGACACCATCTGCAGAGCGGATGGGTGAGGACCTTCAGCCGCCCAATAGCAGACAACATCACAGTCGTCATCAGCAAGCTCCAGCTGAGGGACGCGGTGCCCAGCCGAGCACCGCAGACCAGCCGACTGACCAACGAGAAATGACAGCACCACGACTTCCACTGCCACTACCTACAGGAGACAGACCACAGAGGCAGAGGAAAATGCCAGCGAAATTCCAGGATTTTGTGCTGACATAATTTATCTGGAAGCAAGTGAATTACAGTGTTTGTTCTTGTGCCAGATGAAATGCTGTCTTGTTTAACGCAGGGATTATACAGATGAACACCTTTGGATACAGTTATTTGGAAGTGAGCAAGTTTATGAGCGTTTTAATAGTCAACCAAAGTCATGACATCGGGCAGAATAACCCCGAGGCTTTTGGCTATGGACCAATACCCTCGCTCTATTGGTCCAATAGGTTCTATTTTTATTCTAAAGAGTTATTAAAATTTCATGAGCATTTTGATAGTTAAGCAACCAGAGTCAGGACCTTGGGCATAATAATCCCAAGACTCATGGTTGGGGATCAATACCCTCGCTCTATTGGTCCCATAGTGTTTTAGTAGATATTGTTTTTTGGTACAAACAACAAACAAACAGGAATACAGGCTTCTTGTTAACGTTGTGTGTAACAGCATCTACGAGTTTCTGGATTCACAATTTCGCACACCACAAGGACAGTCATGAACTAGTGCATTCTCTAACTGCAAAGGGAATCAACGTGAATAATGACTCATGGAACAAATTGACTGTAGATTAGCAAGTATCGGATTTATTTGCATGTCATCATTTATATTCATCATATACATTCATGTATATAGAATGCATCCAAATATTATTTTCAGTGCCGGTATATCACTTATGTTTGCAGGCACTGGTAATGTAAGTTTTGGAGTCCAATTTGTTGAAACTAATTTTGGTTGGCAAGACCTCGCCAAGGAGATATTTTCAGTTTTTTCTTTGTAATTTGTTAATTTTTTTCTTCAAAATATGAAACGAAAGAAAGACGCATATATATTGGAACATAAATTACAGATGGGAATAGAGGAAAGAATTTTCTTTTTTTTTGTTTTCAAAAGGAAAGAAAGGGAGATGTTACGAGGTCTGAAGCCTAGACTAGTATCATACACGGGACTCTATGCTATCGTGCGGCATGCATGTAGGCAGCGCGATATACACGAGAACACGACCACCAGTTGTATCTAACATAACGGCGTCCAAGTGTCCTTATTATCTTATATAGTGTCTCCATAAGATAACACTAGCTATCCAAATTGAATAGAGTCAGTACCATTCTCTCTACCAATAAGAATTATCAACAAAATGATGTTAAAGTTGATGGCTGTCCTGTCTTAATACACAAATTGAGTTTTATCTGCTGCATCTTTATTTTCATAGTGGCATAGCTACATGGGGGGGGGGGGGGGCACCCCTCCCCATCAATGGTATAAAAGGTAAAGAGACAGAAAGCAATAATGGGAAAAAGAGAGGGGGAATTGAAAAAAATGATATGACAGCCCCCCCTCATGTTCTCTCACAAATCATCCATCTAAGACCTGTTTCTCACAAGAAAATGTACCCCCCTCTATCAGCTAAGGAAGTATTCATGCTATGCTATTCTACTGCTTGCATTTTGATGCAGGGCTTTCAGTCTTCGCAGAAAAATGAGACTTTTACCCACTATCTATTATTGATAAATTGCGCTTTTGTATACTTACCATTTACATCTGCTCCTGTAACTGTCAACACTTTCTTTCTCTTTTTCTTCTTTTCCTTCTTAGCAGCATCTATAGGTGGTAAACAAAACAAGGGGGAAAACACTTTAGTATTGCATACAACGATGGGAAAGATAATTGTTAAATATTATGTTTGAGTCTGAAATAATGAAAACTAAAGACAGAAGTTCCAGTTTAAATTGTACGTTTAATATGGCGGCTCCAATCTACAATCAGGGCTCAGTAGGCATGAGATATCCAGTTTGGATTGCAAACACAACATTAATGATTACAACAAAACAGTTATTGGTTTAATATTGATATTCAACCTGAACTATAATTATGCAAAAGAAAAATAGAAATTGCATTGAGAGTTGCACTTATCCCAATAGCACAGCAATTCAACTGTACTTCTGTTGCCAAAATCCAAATATGAGAAATATTTGTTGGATTACCTTTTCTGTTTTCCTTTGGAATTTTCTTTGGTCTGGTGACGTGTTCATCCTTGAGCACCATTCCCTGCACTTCCACTGAGGAAGTGTCATTGAGGTATCTCAATGAGAGACTTCTGCCGTCTATGATGGCTTGACAGCTCTCCAGGTCCTTTAGAATGCATGGGGCAGTATCCTCATGGCAATAAATTACAAACAACTTCTCTTCCTTTTCTATCTCTGCCCAGGCTGATAGTAAACCCTGGGATGTTGTCTTTGTGTGTGATTGAGGATGATGGGTAGGGTCCGCAGGAGTCGAGTGCTGGAATGGTGTGCAGATGTCATCCTGTTGTCCATCCATTTCAACATCAATAGGCATTGATTCACCAAAGTTGTATCTTGTCGAAGCCATAGCATGATCCCGACCTGCCAGTGGTGCACATTTTGGTGAAGTGGCCTGACCTTCCATTTCCTGAAGGCTATCTGGTATTCTATAATGGGTCTTTTGGTCAATGACCATTACATCATCATGTTCTGAAACATTCTGTGACTGCAATGTCGCTCCTGTACTTGTGACAGGCTCATCTTCAGATACTCTATTCACCGCCACATCCAAGGTCTTTGCACTTTTTCTGAAATCCTTAGGAGAATATCCTTTCTTACTCTCAAAGAAGCTACTTATTTCTTTCTCCAGCAACGTCTTGTTTGCCTCATCAACAGTACTGTCGCTGATGTCATCAGACTCGGGATCGATGATATCTCCGGCAAAAGCGCGTCTTTGGATGATGGGTGGGCTTGAGCTCCTGGAGTCTGTCTGTTCATCCTGGAAGCTAAGAATTCTGGTAACTGTGTCCATATCCACCACTGCTTCGTTGGTACATTCTGGACTCGGGTTGAACCATCTCTCGTACATTTCATCCAATTTTTCAAAGTCCAAATCTGCTTGGGTACATTCTTGACCCCTGCTTGTCACCACAGCTTGAGGACACTTCTGACTGGGGTTGAACCTGCTCTCATACATTTCATCTAATTTCTTAAAGTTCAAATCTGGCGTTTTCCCTTTTTTTTCCTTAACAGCGAAACCAAGTGCATGTGTGATATCTTCTTCCTTTTCCTTTGGCCTAGGTGCTACTGCTTTATCTTGCACCCTCAGCTCTGGTTCTGGTACACTGTGCCGTCCCTTCAGAGAGGTCACATTATCTGACCGTTTCGTTTCGTCTACAGCTGTTTTCACCAACTCTTTTATTTTCTGGGAAGGGCTCTTGATAGTGTGGAGTGGGTTTTGTCCAACCTTTTCACCTGTCTTCTTCGTTCTTATATGACTAAGATAAATGGCCTGTTGGAGCTTCTTCTTGTCCAGCTTTTTCAAACTTCGGCATCGATGAATTTCATCCAAACCTCTCATGGATCTAGACAGTAATCTTTGTCCAGGTGACACACTGTTCCTTTGCTTCTGAATTCTTGGCGATCTAGCAGAAGCAGAAATTTTCTTACAAGATGAAATTATCTTTTGTTTTGTGACTTTACACTTGTGAAAACTGTCATTACTCCTGCTATGATCATCATCATCATGTTCCAGCTGTTGGGTAGAATCTTTAGTCTTATCCACTATGCCAGCCAAGAAGACATCTACTTCCACCCCTGGTGAACTGCTTGATCCGGAGAAATCAGAATCATTTACAGTTAATGAAGTATTAGGTGGTTGGGACTGATCATCAACCTTTTCATTTTCCTTCTTTCTTATCTGACTACAATCAATGAACTCCTGTAGCTTCTTCATATCTACGGTTGTCATGGATACTGTACGACGTCTATGGATTTCATCCAAGCCATTTGTAGTTCTGGACAGTGATCTTTTTCCAGGTGACACAAAAGGCATGCAGCTCCGTCGCTTCTGAACTCTAGGTGATGCAACAGAAATTGTTTTACAAGAGTTCTTTCTTTTCTTTACATCACTTTTAAGATACATTTCATCAATCCTTTGAAGAAAATCAACCGGTTCTTGACTTCGTGATAAATTTGTCAAATGGTCAGAAACATCATGGTCACTTGTCATAAATGAGACCTCAGATTCATGTGGTTGGGTATCAAGATCAACATTTTTATTTCTCTTCTTCTTTCTTACCCTACTCTCGATGGCCTCACACAACTTCTTCATATCCATAGTTGTCATGGATACTGCACGACGTCGATATATGCCGTCTAATCCATGCATGCTTCTGGACAATGACCTTTGCCCAGGCGATACAAAAGACATGCTTCTTCGTCCCTTCTGAACTCTAGGTGATCTTGATGCTACCGTTTTACTGGCTGAAGATGTCTTTCTTTTGAGCACTGCAGGTTGAAGGTTTATCTCATCATCAGTCACTTTGGGATGGTCATGCTGTTCTTGATTTTTTGAAGAATCTGCCAAGAATTCATTTGTTTCTATTCCTGGAGATTTGCTTGATGATAGACCAGAGACATCACGGTCACTTGTAGTAAATGACGCATCAGGCTCATAGGGTTGGGTATCGATATCAACCTTTCCACATTTCTTCTGTTGTCCTATCCGACTCTCGATAGCCTCGCTTAGCTTCTTCATATCCACGATTGTCATAGACACTGTACGACGTCGATGGATTCCATCCAAACCATGCCTGTTTCTGGAGAGTGACCTTTTTCCAGGTGACACAAATGGCATGCTCTTCCGTTGCTTCTGAATTCTAGGTGATGCTACAGAAATTCCTTTGACAGGTGAGGATTTCTTTTTCTTGATCACTGTAGATGTATGGTATATCTCATCATTTCCTTGGGGAATATCATCATTTTGATTGTTGGCTGAATCTTGCTTCTTCTTACTTGACACCACACTGGCCAAGAAAGCATCTGCTTCCATCCCTGAAGACTTCCTTGGTGATGAATCAGAAACATGGTCACTCGTAGGTGACGACACCAAAGATTCTTTGGGTTGGGTGTGTAGCTTGTGGGGACCTTCCTTTGTCCCAGACATCACCAGCTGTTTCCTCCTGACTGTCCGCTTTGATACAGGTCTACTCAGCGGAGACATGAGACAGATCAAAGGGCTCGTCATCCTTCCTGTCTCATCAAATCCATCTATTTTGGTACAGAATTGCAGGAGACCATAAAATCTGTAAGGAATAAAAGCAGGGAAAAGATTATTATGATGATCAAAAAGATTCTTAATACAACAACATAGAAAAATTTAACATTAAGATACATTTGTTTAATGTAAATGTGTTGTTTCCACCAGTTTTCCACTGAATATTGATCTCAAGGAAATAGTCATTGCCCTTTCTGTATCAAATTACTCTATTCAGGGATCATGTGAATTAATCAGGAAACAAAATTTGAGAAAAACAAATAATTAGCAAATGCAATTATTTTCATTTATAAACCAAATCAGGATATATTTAAAAGAAAATTGTGTCAGGGTGCTAATGCAAAATCCAATTGAAATTATTTAGATGGATCTAATTTTTGATCAAATGTTTTCTTCATTGCAAAGATAAGAACAAACTGTTCATAACTTTCTTTGGCTGAAATATTAGGAAAATGCATTTTTTTTTAATTCTTTATCTTCAAAAGTGCTATGGCAAGAACCTACAGGAAATCAGTCTAGTCAATGCTCATTAGGATTTATAGCTAGGCGTATGTCTGTGACAATCATGTTTAGTCTGAGAGGGCAGGTACTTTAAAATCAATGTCCAGAGAGCAACAAAAACATGCCAGAAAACATTTTTGCCACTACCCCCCCCCCCTCCCTTGTCCTCTGAGCAAGACATAGTGTCAGCATAGTATCATAAACACATGAATATTTTTTCACTGCTATAACTACAAATAGATCTTCCTCCCCCTAATTATATACTCTATATACCAACACATAATACCATGCAAAACTATGAGCACCACAGAAAACTGTTACCTCTTAGGCCATTAAAAAAAAATAAACATGTTTAGCGTCCCTGCCCACTTCTTTTTGGGGGGCCGCCTTCTATTTTTTAATTCTTTTATTTTTTGAATTTTTTTTTGAATTTTTTTGGGATTTTTTTTTTTAAGAGAAAAACATGCAAAACACTGCTAAAATGGATCTATTTCTGATTTAAAAAAAAAAAAAAAAATTTCAGCGGCCATCTTAAAAAATAGCCCAACTGTCAGGGAAATTGTACCGAGCGGCCATTTTGAGCGGCCATTTTGAAAGAAAAAAGGGCCTCCTCCTTCCTATTTTTCAAAAAAACAGGACGCTAAACATTTTTTTTTTTTTTTTGGGGGGGGGGGGGGGCCTTATGTGATGATATTGTCCATGAAGCTGTTCTTAACTGATAACTTTGATTTATTCCTTTCAAATTCATTATTTTGGGGCCCATTAATGAAATATACAACACCCTTTATATTGGGGCGGTGCTCTAGCTGGGGCACCCCCCCCCCCCTGTTAAACAAAATGCATGGTCTAGCTAGTTTGGTTTATATACCTTGAATACATACATAATTATATATATTGTTTTCCCCTTGCTCCCCCTCCCCATCTCCTACTTGAGAACCTCCTTTTTATGTACCCCCAGGCTAATTAGGCTCAATTTTAACACTCTTCTAAAAACTAAATGTGAGAATTGAATAATATTGCTGATGCCCCCACAATCTGACAACCATTTTTCTTTATTTTCAAATTTCTTTTTGTTTTGTTTTGTTTCATTTGTTTTTTGCTTGGGGGCTTGGGCGCACTGCGTAATGCACCTCGTCCCGAGCAATGACCTCTATCAGTTGTCACGAGTCATGGATACGCTACCGCGCGCGCTCTGCGAAGAATTTCTACCAGTACCAGTAAGGTGTGGCCCATGCGCATTTCCGTTAGCGCTCGAGTCGAATCACTCGCGGCCTTGTCCCCGGGGGGCGGCCCGCATCACATCCGGACCGCACTCGATCGCGCCGCATTACCACCACAACTTCAACATTCACTCCATTCAATATGATCATTGATAATTACAATTTTAGGAATCCCACCAGCATTATCCTTTGGAATGTCTGCTCATTACATATGCCTTACCCAAAATGAGTTGACTTACAGTAAATCAGATTTTCAGGCCTTTCGTTGCTCCACCCAGCTCCGACTGGATCCGTGGTTTCATTCCATGCACATACGTCTGCGCATCACGTGCACCTATATGCCCCTCCTTCCTTCTGAAACTGGCGACCAAAATCAAAAGCGAAGCTTTTCTTTCATTCATGGTAGTGTAAGAGTAAAAATTAGACTCCTTCCATACTGGAATTTGTTAAAAATACTTTATGTTTCTCTAGTCTCTTCTCTATTTATTTCACATCATTTGCTCATTCACTTACATATTCATTGACTTCAATTACTCTCAACCCAATTCCTTCCTCCATTTATCTCCTAGTACATACCAAGTCTGATCACCTGGTATTTTCCTTTGTTTTCTCCTTATTCTTTATTCACGGTCTTGTGTGTATGCATTAGGCTTTTCTACTTTTCTACTTTTCTTTTGAATATTCAGTTTTACTATTGTTTTGTGATGTATTCATCATTTGAATATACTTTGCTTAAAAATGTTCAGTATGATGCTGGCGAGCATAGCAGCCTACAATAAAAGCTAGTCAGACCCGCACGCGGCTTTTTCTGAGTCAGTTGTATTAATTTGGGCTCTGCTACTTTAGCAGGAGATTTAGGAGAGAGAATTTATGTAAATTTGGCGGTGGTTTGTTGATAATTAGGGTTTTTAATTTATATTGGAGTCTGAGAGGCTAATTTGTATTACTTTACAACACAGTAGAAATGTAATGTAATATAGGGATGCACCCTAAGTGAAGGACAACAGGGTATAAATTGTCGTTTGGTTCAGTTGTCATATCGCCCAACATCAGTTAGGTCTCTCATCATTTCGATCGTTTATCAAAATTTCCTGCAAGATTGAACCAACTTTGTCCAATCATCAGTTCTGTCCAGTAATCACTGTGTCAAATGACCTATTAGTCCATATATAACCATTTTGTCTAAGAACCATTTGGTCCATATACCAATGAACCGGGGAGATGTGAGTCTTCTTAATTATACAGACTTGACTCAGCGAACCCCGGTTCGAGAATGGGTCACGTCCTTCGGATGGTGACGTTAAATCCCCACTGCACTACTCATATCTACTTGCGCCCTCTGTATAGCAAACAATGCCTAATCGGTGCCTGTTAGTCCCCATGAACCTCTTTTTCTTATGTTAATTGAGAGCTGATTTGATGAGATAAGCACCTGTCAGTAACCTTGCCGGGAGGTATAATGCCCCTGGCCAAACTAGTACAGACGGGCTTTGACGGAGTCAGTCCCCAGACTTAAATGATTATATCTGATTGATACACGTCTGTAAAAAGAAAACAACAAAAAGCTACACACATATACACACATTTTGTCATGTCACCATTTTGTTTAATAGCCGGTTTTTTACAATATCCACTTGGTCCGTATCATAACTTAATATAATTACCAATACGTCTACTTAAAGGTAAAGACCAGTATTGGAAACGCCTCAATTTCAAAAAATGAAATGGAAGCTCTCATTACCAATCATGTCAAAGAATATGTTTTGACTAATACATGATGATAAAAAATTTGCCGGGAAACCGCCTACTAATTCATATATTTGTTAAATTTGTTTCTCTCGTGGTCTGTGAGAGATATAGGGTAGTCCCGTATACATCTTTCTGTGTATATTGCTTGTAACTTTACGAAGAATGGGCCAAATTTCTTATCATTTTGATGATTCCAGAACCTTGCAGATGCTAGATGCTAGATGATCAACCTTTTCTGATCGATTCCACAACGTTTCTTTCACAATGCAATCGCATGACCATAACTGGTCTTTAGCTTTAACACTTCGCTCATTATCATTTCTTCCGATGCCTAGTTGGTCTAAAACATCATTTGGTCCAATCTTCAGTTTGTCTAATGGGTCTTTCATTATTTTTTTCTAATATCCATTTGATCTGATAGCCTACTTATTCTATGATTTCAATAGCTATGGAATGATGCAGATTTACAGCCTGTTCATTAAAAAAAGAGTAGGCAATAGAAAATATTTCAACTGCCACAGTATCATAAATATGCACTTAAAACATGTAAAAGTTCTAAGAAATCCAAGTGGTGGAAAATATCCCCAATAAATGATAATCTTTTTTTCTTTCTTTCCATGTACCGTATTAAGCATCAACAGACCAAGATTAGACGAATTGGACACACTTAGTATTATCTTTAAATGCCGTTGGAATTTAACCTTTTCATTGTTTTGGCATGCAAATGGGACATAGTACCATTATAAGGACTGTCACGCATGCAGATTACCAGTGGGGTTTCTACTGGTACATTTTGCGGATTCCCCTCTGTTTAACGATTACTGGATACGCCAATAATAACTTTCAGAAATAGTGCTTTGCATTCTAGAAACGAAACCAATATCAATTTCAGGTTCATTACACTTTTCCCTTCATCCTCACCTCAAAGAAGTTCATCCCCCATTACTATTAGATGATCGATAGAACATTTCTATCCCCTGTACATTGATTGAAGAATATGATACGAATACATATTGAGCTTTTCCGCGGTATTCATTTCAGAGCGCATCGTCTAATAACTGTTATATCGAACGTTGCCATGGTAACCAGAATGGATTCTCTGGATAACAAATGTATACCTGATGGATTAGTTAACAAAGGGCCTACCATCGTCTAGTGGGGTTTACCACTGGGGGCGTTTCACAAAACTCGTCATCAGTGAAATATGGCAGTTTTTGTTATAAGCTACTGAAATCCCTGCTCCTGATTGGTTATCAGCTGATTTGTCACTGATTTTTGTCATTTGCCATTGAAATAAGGCTTTGTGAAACGGGTCCCTGATGTCATAGGAAAATGTGGGTCAGAATCATGAATGTAATGCATGGACAGCATAATTTAATCAATTTTTAATCAGAATTTCACGTAATCCCACTATCAAAGACTATGATTAGATGTATTAGGCCCACAATCAATTATGATGGAATTCATGTCATACTTCATGTTGAGGTTTTTATGAGAATGCATTTGAACTGAAGCTGTCCAAGCGAGAGGATACACTTTAGTGGTAGTATCGAGGTTCGGTGATGTGCAAGACACCTATTATGTCGAGGTATGTATGTTTATCTATAAAATAAAATATGTTCATATGGCATATTGAATTAATGTTTTGTTTTACAAAATCATATGTGACACTCTAAAAATATTTTTTTAAGAACACATATCATGAATATGTAACAATCCTCTTTGTTGCTATCTAGAGTGTCAAATCATAAATTAATCATTGGGAAGGTATTGTTCGTGGATATTTCCTTATTCTTATTCCAGAGTAATACCATTATCATTTTCCCCCTATTTTATATAAAATCATAACATCTGGTCTTAACATCACGATCATGATTTGTATATTCATAATGTTAATGTACATTCGTACCCCACGAGGCACTCTATGGATTTTCATTTAACTAACCCTAAAATTGTTTTGGCACAAAAATCAATAAGACACAATGGACCCGATGTGTGGAACTCCTTGCTTATAACATAAAAACTATGTACAACACTTGTTTCCTTTAAAGTGAAGATGAAAGAATATCTTCACTGATATGAAAATTAGATTCTGGTCATAATATACTACATGTACTTTGTTTTAATATATAAATATTCATTGTTTATTTGTATATAAAAAGGAAATTATTTGATAGATTGAGGAGTTCGCGCAGTGCACTCTTCACTTTGCACAGCACTCTCTTCACCCGCTCTTTCTTCCTGTCTCCTCTCCTCCTTTTGTAAGGCCGGTATCATTTCAAGCTCTGCTTACGATATCGGTCTTCTGCATTCTCCCCCTTTCCTTTCTTTTCAAATACGATTAATTGTACTATTGATTATTTATATTCATTTATTTGTGAATTACTGCTTGTATTACTTATCATTATATTGCTAAAATGTATTCATTGTTATTTTTGTTATTGCTTATGGAAAATGCAGAAATAAAACTTGAAACTGAAACTGATATACATATCATGTAAGGGTAAGCGCTTTCGTCCACTAATGCTCAGTGATTTATTAATAGAGTTGTCGTTGTATAGTGGATATGTCACCGGACTGTGGATAAAATGGTTCAAGGTTCAAGTTCCACCTCGGCACTAATGTCCTTTGGCAAGGTAATTAATAATTAATTTCTAACTGTGGGGAAAATATTTCATATTTTAGGTCTTTTGCTAAATAGTTTTTACTAGTTACATGTACTGGCCCATTTTGAGCTCTCTCTGATTGGGAGAACACGGCTAGACCCCCGCTAGCCCCCCCCCCCCCCCTCCCCCTGCCCCACCCACTCACACACTTCACCAACAACACTAGACAGTCCAAGCTTGTGTTTCAAATGGAATTTGGTAATAATGACATTGATTTAATATACGGGCTAAACAGTACAACGAAGCTTTGACAAATGCAACGGGAAATATAGATTATGTCCTCAAAACAGCCTTTCTTTTTAACGACAATATGTTAATTAGACAATTTTTTAATAGAGTTGTTGAATTTATTAGGTTTTAGCATTCAAATCCAATCGATATAGAGGTGCCTCCTGATCAGTATACTATAGTTCAACAATCAAACTTTTTTTTTTAAATTTTGGTATTTGTTTTATGCATGGTCCAGATAACAGACCTTAAAAACAAAAGAGAAGATCTTATGTCGAATGATAAATAAATCCTTGATGATGGCGAATAACTTGTATCTCATGCTCGGAAAACTTCTAGTTTTAGCTCTCTTTTGTGTCTTCTTGAAAGAGTTTGTGACCGAGCTAATATCCTGGGTGTGAATTTCTCGTACAATTTGTGATTTTCCATGACTCTCTTTTCTCTCTTTTCATTTCTTTCTTCTGCTTTTTTTTCCGGCAAAGATAGCATGCATCCAATGAAAGTGAAGTCAACAGTTATTGTGACGGCACAGCCGTGCAGTCCCTTTCATTATGACGTTGTATGTGTCGATTAACCACTGTGAAAAGGAATGATAAATTGAAATCATACATTAGAACATGTAAATGTTAAAACTTGGCACGGTTGCGATCGCAACGGCTTTCAGAAAGTCAAC